TTCGACCTGGAGGGCTGTGGGCAGTGGGGTCCCCCAGGGCTCGGGGTTCGGGCCCACACCGTTCAATATCTTCATCGGCGACTTGGATGAGGGGGTGAAAAGCACCTTGTTCAAGTTTGCAGATGACACTAAGATGTGGGGGGAAGTGGGCACGCTAGACGGGAGGAATAGGCTGCAATCGGACCTGGACAGGTTGCAGGGGTGGGCCGATGAGAACAGTATGGGGTTCAACACTGACCAGTGCAAGGTGCTGCACCTGGGGAGGAAGAGCCAGCAGCAGACCTACAGGCTGGGGAACTCTCTTCTCGTCAGTGCAGAGGCAGAAAAGGATCTTGGAGTCATTATTGATGCCAAAATGAACACAGGCCGACAGTGTGGGGACGCGGTCAGGAAGGCCAACCGCACCTTGTCGTGCATCCACAGGTGCATCTCGAGCAGGTCCCAGGAGGTGATCCTCCCCCTCTACGCGACACTGGTCAGGCCGCATTTGGAGTACTGTGTCCAGGTCTGGGCGCCGCACTTCAGGAGGGATGTGGCCAGCATGGAGAGGGGCCAGAGGAGGGTCACCCACATGATCCAGGACAGCAGGGCAGGGAGAGGCCCAATGATCTCACGCAGTCCCTTCCAGCCCCTACTGTCTATGAAATCTGTGACATTTATAACACTGTTCCTATGGGAAAATTGGTTCTGATTTATGACGTTTCAACCTAAGACACGGTTTTCAGGAACCACTTGCGTCGTAAGTCTGAGGACTGGCTGTATTGTAACAACTTCGAGAATCGCCTTTTGCTCTCCATCTGTAAAAATGTGGTCTGACTGCATGCTTTGCTTAGTGGAACAGTGATTTGTGGTTTTGGAATGACTTCTGCCAATTTTGCTAAGAGCAGCCAAATAGCTCTGTGAAGAGAATGTAAAAAACAAAAAATCTCTAGGGTTATAACGAGGCCAAATGGCACCATGGTCAGCTCTTCCCAGAAAGGGGGAAGCAGATGTGTTTTTCTGGTTGTAACCCAGCACTGTTTGCAGCGGGGAAGCTTGTGCTGACTCGAAGGCCTTGTTTGTGTCTGGCCTGCCTGGCCTGTTTCTACTGTTCTTGCTCTGACCTGCCTCTTGAAGTGCACATGGGAAATGCAATGCTCACGGACAAACTTTTTTTTTTTTTTTCATATGCAAGCATTGGCCTGCATCCCCTGGCAGTGCTGTACGCTCAGCTTGAGAGCTGCAGTATGGCGAGCAGTGCAGTATGCGTGTGCATTTACATAATGATGGCTTTGACTTTGTTCCTCCATGCTGCTGTGGGATCTTTCAGGAGAGGGCAGCTGGTCTTATACCTTCACCACTGGAACTATATGGACCAGCGGCACAATTTTGCACCCTTGTAACTTTGTGCTGAGGAATCAATAGGATTCTTAGCTTACTTTCTTTTCATAAAATTTGCTAAGGAATATCAGGAACCTGACATAATGATGTGTGACTTAAGTTCATATTCAGAGGATTCTATAAAGGTTTTTTTTTTTTCTTTTAGTGTGCAAGCACACTTTAAAATGGAATTT